TTACAATTTCCTGCTCAGTATTCTCCTTCTTGATTCAAGCACTGTATTTATCCGGTTTCCAAATTTCACCTTCAGTTCTCAACTCCAGTTATTCCATTTCTTCCCGTTACTTCCACAACGGCAATACCAGTTAAGATTTCAAACTGAGAGACAGACCCCGCAATTTCACATTGTGGGTGATGGCGTTCACCTGCGAACCTATAGTCCTAATGAGTCTCTAGGCAAGGAAAAGGCAAGAAAACGTCTTGGAGAACACCCTAAGATCCCCTGGCTGTACCACTGTACGAGTTCTTCGGACCTGCTCGTTTTAAGCCAGTATAGCGATACCCTGCCACCTCTGGCTCACTATTTGTTTCTTCGCGTCATCTGGTGCTATTACCATCCTACAGTGAAGAAAATCCAAAAACGCGCTGCGAAAACTCGCGACAGAAAAGGTCCGTGGGCGGAACAATTAAGGAGGCGTCAAAACCGCCACTCATGAGGGCCACAGCGTCTTTTTAGTGTTAAATCGCGAAAAAGGGACAGTTTCAGACACTGGGGACCGGACTACTCGTATAAGGAAGGACGCCTGCGAACTGATAGAGCGCGGGGATTGTCTTCGAGTCCCTCAAAAAATTTTCGCCTCGATTCGATCAACCCTAGCACGCAGTAGCCTTCCATTGCATTTGTGCTTCTCATGCCATTTTAACATTTAAATTGATAGAATGGACGAATCAATCAATACCTCGAGATGAACCCAGTCCAAAGCACTTCGACAATCATGGAATATGGACTTGTATGACATCAACACATCGCCACCTCGAACTCCGGTCTTATCCTCGAGCCTAAAAGGACAGGCACATCGATTACTCTCTACGAAGGCAATGGCGGAAGCCTCTCTCTCTCCAAAAACATTCCGTCTCATCAACACCAGACATTCAATTTTAATCTCTCTATCATTTTGAGATTATAATATTAAGAGCCGTTAAACCCCCTCTCATGAACTATGATTGTCCTTTATGTCAAGCGCCAATAATTCCGTTATCGCGGGTCATGAAGGTGATAAACGTGCAGGAAAAATGTTTTTCTGTCTGTCTCATGAAAAAAAAAACACTTTTTCAGACCAAAAATCGTCATCCTCGCTCACTTAGGAGCCCAGATTTCGCTTAGGAAAATGGGTAACAAATTTGGGTGAGGCAAAATGAGCTCGCGATTTCGCAATGCTGAGACAGACCATTGTGCACTTCTCGTGGGAACCCCCCTAGAAAAAGTATTCAATTTCACAAGGAAATGAGTCGTTTCTGAAAATTTGCCATAATTTTCAATGGGGAAGTGCCCAAAGTGTTTGAAAATAGATGAAAAATAATTTACGCCGTATAGTCGGGATGGCTGTCGAAAAAGTCGATGAGATAGGCTAGCAGATGTGTTTCGGGCAAATTGAAAAGCGTATTCAGCACGAATACTCGCGATTCAGACAACTGAAGATACTTGTTCGGATAGATTTCTTCAATTTCTGACCTGAAATCAATTCTTTACAGTATGGCCCTTAGTGTGGACAAATTCTTAGGGTTTTCTGGCGTCAGAAGGGTTTTAAAAAGAGCTTACGTCTTCAGGAATTTGAACCCGTGCATGCCAACCAAGATATTTCCAAAACCATCAACTTTCAGCAAATTGCCATAGGCGTAATCGAACCAAAGACCTGGTAAGTAGTCAGTATTGAAACCATCGGGATTAAGCCGCGTTCTTGGGGTTTACTTACCTCGAACCGGAAAGATTGGATCATATTTGAACTTTCGAATTTCTTCCGGGTACCCGATAGCAATAAGACGCTCCACAGCAAGTTCAAAAGCTAGGATTTCGAGATCAGGTGATTTATACTCTGAAACGGGAACTATTTTGACACGGAAGGATACGTCACGACGAATATTCTTTCGGTAGGATGAACTGAGTGGTATTCCGTATAGTAACCATGTGAATCCTCACTGAGGTTGTCCTTCAAGCGCTGTTGATTTTCAGCGAACCGTGAAAATCTAGCTCCCAAAAATTGCATAGCGGTCGGTAGATGACTTATTCCACTTGAATTAATAACAATAAAGTAACTCACGGACAAGAGTATAATCCATATCGAACCCGAAATAGTTGATTTTCTCCATACGAAGTGAGCGATTGACGAACACCCTAGAAGACCTCCCATAAAGAGTCATGTAGTATAAAATACGATCGATTCTTGAGATTTTCCCTTCTAGCTTCACTAATCAGGTGATGCTTCTTTGGTCAAGCTAGCAAAAACTTGAGGGAATGCACGCGTTCACTTGAAATTCAGGCAATTCTCGTTCACGCAATGAGGCTTATAGGAAGAGTACTTTCATGTAAAAGAGCTATGAGTTAAGTATTTTGTAAAAACCTTTGTTCAGGTGTCCGTTTGTGAAGAATCGCATCCGAAACCATGTTCACTCGGATAGTAGAGAGGGGGAATGTAGACCGCACTGCACTCTATACGCCTAGCGATAGGCGCTATTTCAGCCCAGCACTAGCCAGCCAGCAGTCGCTCGCTGTCGGTGGTGGTGGCCCGCGCCGACGACCGCCCACCTCACAATGAACGGAACGTGGAAAAAGTTCTGTGCCCAGCTCCCCGTTCATAACGTCATATTCATAATTTCATCGTCCTTTTCTTTGTTGGACCCCGTTGGACTTAACTTCAACGTCTCACGTTCATAGGATATCGTCCTTTAGGCTGCAGCCCTGCACTATACAGGAAGAGTCATGCGTAAAGCAATTCGTTGAACGTCCATCGCGCCTAAAATGCTATTTGTTTGTCTCATTCGTCTTGCCCCATTCCTCAACGTCCGCTCGCCCTTATTCTGCTCAGTCTTTTTTTCTATTGGACGTTTTCAGCATAATCGAATTCCTTTCCCCAAGTCGAGCATTGTTTTCGGTTCGAACAGAACTATGTTAACGCCCTTTTTTCACTGTGAAATCGACCGCCTTTATGTGAGCGTTCAGCTTCACTGCCTTTAGACATCTTTATGTGAACCCACACTTTCCCAGAGCGCCAAAGACACTTGAAAAAGGGCTACAGCGCTTTTTATAGCCATGCAGCTGTTCCTGAAATTCATCTGGAGCTGATGTACTTGCAAAGAGAAAAAGCTCCTGGTTTCTATTTCACACATTGGATGACACACTCAGAAAGCCCAAAACGGACTGGGAAACTCAAAGTAATGTGTACTTGTTTACCGCAAACCCTACAATAAGCAGAAAGATAAGGCCTTGAATGTTGATCATTTCATTTTAGGGTAGACACGCATTCCACTTTCATTCAATGTAGCCAGCCAATGAGCAAGTCAAACCCATGCTCGAGCTTCTGAATCTCCTGAGTGTGCTAGATTCTCCCATGCAATTCTGTTACCGACTGGCCCACCCTAGAGGGAAGAGGGGCTTGGTTGGGCCAGGTGGGAGCCGATCTAGGACCTGGCTCCTGGACCGTACGTGTGGTAAAGCGGCGCCAACAGCGCACATCATTGGTTGGGGAATGGAAAAATGACTTACACTGCTACTATGTGAAGGACCATTGCAAGCCGTACTTGGCAGTTCGGTAACTTAACTAAGGGACCGCTTGCGATGCCTCACAAGGGCACATTAATGGTTGGGGATTTTGGTCGAGTCCATGCGAACCGTCCCCACCCCCCCCTTCTCCCGTAGAAGTTGGCTTGATACCACCCCTCCCCCTGCCCTCCTCTGATACGATCGAGCTGTCGAGCGGAGTGTACATAGCACATGTGAAACAGGAAAAACCGCAAAAAGTCAACAAGTGGGAAAAATCCGCAAATTTCTCAACAAGACAACGCGAAACAAATACGATCCCCGCCTCCCAACAACGATCGAATACGACCCCCTCCCCAGCGACCAAATACGACTCCCCTGTTGGGGAATCCCCTACGATGATGTGCCTTGGGCGCCTCTTCACACTGAACCCCTTTCGTGACGTGAGGGAAATCATCGCACAAAGACATAAGAACAAAGAGATTGCAGTTCTGACATTTGAACGCGCTTCTCTAACCCACCAAACCCACCACCCCCACCTCCCTGTTGAGCACAAACGCATGATTTCATGGCTTTACGGTCCCCTTTCGGGGCGGGTACATCCTTCCGTTGTAAAAAGCTTTTGTAAAATGAGCGTCCCCCCAAAGGTTCCTTGATACGGCCTCTCCTTCCCTGAATTGCAGTCGAAACATGAAAAAAACCGAGAAGGGACAATAGCTGGAAACATCTATCATAGTCAAATATGACCCGCTACCTCCCTCGAGCGATCAAATACTACCCTTTCGTTGGGTATACCATCGTACTGCCCGCCCTGGTTAAAGGGCAGGAGCCAAATTAGTGGGCCCGTCTGCTACTTACACTTCCGTTTCCAAATTTATAATAAGTGCATGACTATGAAAGAACTTGAGAACTTGATCAAGCGCAGTAGTACAGCGCGCAAAGTGCCTATTCCTACTTTCAGAGCAAGCCTGGATTTTTAGGTTGACGAGCCGGAATTATGGACCCATATTCTACCTTCTGAATCTCCTGATTATGAAAGGCTCTAGAGCCGGTTTACAGACAAGAGTTTTGGAATTCACTGCATGAAACGGATAATATTTTCGATTTAGATAAGAAGAAGTGACTTCCGCAGCTGGGGTCAATCACTTTTTGGCTGCCACACTGCATTCTATTTCCTTAGTGTTTTCCATTAACCCTCGTGCCCCCCCTCCGGTATTAGTCTGCTTAGCAACTTTCCGTATCCGGAGAAAAGAAGCCTCCAATTGCGCTAGGGAAGCAGGTCTGTGACGGCTAGTGCATACGTGTTTGCAATCAGTATAGTGAAGAATAATGAAGTTTCCGGCTGAAGTGTTTATAGGCTGTTTAGAGGTGAGATTGGACGTGGTTAGCCAGAAACAGGAAGCGGAGAGTGCCCTTGGCGGTACACTCCTCATCATTACGGACTGTCGGGGCGTATCGGCCAGAAGGAGTGCGCACACTGTTTGAAGCCGTTCTCAGCCTTTTCTTTGAAGCGCGTATGCGACAAAAAGTGGTAGAAAACGAGTAATACGAAGGATATAATGCTGTTATGTCATTTGATCGCTTCAACAACTGGTGCAGAAAGACTTTGGAACCGCGGAAAACGCAGCCGCACTGACCCGCCCCGACAGTCCGTAATGATGAGAGTATATATGACGTGGTAGATCTAGTATGGATTTGATCACTATCTGTTCTCTCTGAACTTATTACCTATACG